AAAGTAGAAAGACAACCCACAGGATGGGAGAAAATTTTCGAAAACCATAGGGACTTATACCTAGAATACGTAAGAAACTCTTGTAACTCAACAATAACAAGACAAAATATGGGCAAAGAATTTGAATACATATTTCACCAAAGGAGATATGCAAACGGCCAATAAGTAAAAGAAAAGATGCTCATCATCATTAGTCATCAGGGAAATGCAAATTAAAACCACAATGAGCTGGGTGTGCTGACTCATGCCTGTAATCTCAGCACTTTGGGAGGCCAAGGCAGGAGGATCTTTTGAGCCGAGCAGTTCAAGACCAGCATGGCCAACATAGTGAAACCCTGTCTCTTAAAAATACAAAAATTAGCTGGGCCTTGTGGTGCATGCCTGTAATCCCAGCTACTTGGGAGGCTAAGGCAGGAGAATCACTTGAACCCAGAAAGTAGAGGCTGCAGTAAGCTGAGATTGTGCCACTGCACTCCTGGGCAACACAGCCAGACTCTGTCTCAAAACAAAACAAAACAAAACCCAAACCACCTCCCCCCTCCCAAAAAAAAAAACAACAAAGAAACCCAGCAGATACCACTCTACACACACACTAGGATAGCTATAATAAAAAAAAAAGACAAGCACTGGTGAGGATGAAAAGTAACCGGAACGTTTGTACATTGCTTGTGGAAATGTAATATGGAAAGCCACTTTGGAAAACAGTTTGGTAGTTGTTCAAAAAGTTAAACAGAGATACCATATGGCCCAGTAATTCCACTCCTAGGTATGTATCCAAGAGACATGAAAACATACATCCACACGAAAACCTGTACACAAATGTTCATAACATAATTCAAAATAGCCCAAAAGAAGAAAAACTCAAATGGTTCGACTGATAAATGAATAAGTAAACTGTGGTATATCCCTACAATGGAATATTGTTCAGCCATAAAAAGGAATGTTACATAAGAAATGTTACTTGAAAACATTATGCTAAGTAAAGGAAGCCAAACAGAAAAGGCCACATATATGATTCCATTTACATGAAATATCAAGAATAGATAACTCTATGGAGATGGAAAATAAAGTAGTGCTTAGGAGCTAGGGAACAGCAGGGAATGAGTGAGGAGTCACTGCTTAATGGGTATAGAATTTCTTTTCTAGAGAGTGAATGAAAATATTCTAGAATTAGTGGCAATAGTTGTGCACCTTTGTGAATATGCTAAAAGCCACTGAATTGTACACTTATAAATACTTTATATCAATCAGGCCCCACAAACACTCTATAGAGTTTCCATTATAAGGGCCTGGAGGGTCCTCTTTTAAATAATGGGAGGCCTTTTGCCTATGCTCCCTCCATTCTAAGGCTACTCCAAAAGAGCTCTGTGGAATCCTAAGACTCATACAGGGCAGTGTGAAAACCATCTGTCTAAGTCCCAGGGAAATGTTATCACAATAATCAGCAGTATTATCTTAGAAAGCCTTTCATCTATATAGTATTCCTTCAGTACGGCTATAACACTTTAGCTTTCACTATATGAACAGATTACAAAGAATATGTTTCTCACATGGTCATCAGATGCACTTAGGAGATGTCCACTCAAATTCGAATTCCAGGAGAGACCATAGCCTTCCTTCTGGTGACCTCTTAACCTGAGATCAGGATTACATTCTCCACTTGGGTCTAAGAAAAGAAAAACATTAAGTTATTCTCTGTTTATCAGAAATTGTGAGAATAAATTCTCACTCCTTCATTGAGTGAGCCATTACAGCAACTGCACATGAACAAGATCTGATCTGACCCATAACCACTTTCTTTAAAAAGCTGTTCTTGGGGGCCGGGCGCGGTGGCTCAAGCCTGTAATCCCAGCACTTTGGGAGGCCGAGGCGGGTGGATCACGAGGTCAAGA